TCAATACCATTGTCTTCAAACCACTTGGTAGCCAATTTTGATGTGTGTTTGGGGTCGTTATCTTGTTGGAAAATGAATTTGTCAGAGGAAAGGTCAAGATTTTCCCTGCTGATTAGCAGATGCTCCTCCAAAATGTCCACATACTGCTGGGCATTCATCCTCCCCTCAATCTCCACAAGTTGCTACACACCATTCCAGCTCATACATCCCCAAACCATTATATTCCCTCCCCCAAACTTTACTGTTTCTTGCACCTCGCCCTCCAGTAGTGGATCTCCCTTTGTTTTCCACACATATGGTCTCCCATCTGACTCATACCGGTTTACTTTGGACTCATCTGTGAACATAACCCTCTTCCAATCCTCCACTGTCCAGTTCACATGCTTCTGTGCCCATGCCAACCTGCCCCGCTTGTGATGTAGCTTGAGTAGTGGTTTCTTTTTCTGTTTTGTAGCATACATATGATTGTCATAAAGGAGATTTCTGGTGGTTTGTGGAGTAATAGGAGAGTAGAGGACAGTGTTGAGTGTTCGGGTCATGTGGGAAGCATCATTGGTGGCACCAGTGCATATTTGTGTCAGAATATGGCGTTCATCCTGGGGGGTGAGTTTCTTGGGACAGCCACCACGAGGATTCTCCTTGTCAGGAAGCAGTTTGTTGATATAGTTAGTGATGATAGTCTTGCTACAACTCACTTTGCCAGCAATATCCCTGGCAGAAAGGCTGGGATCAGCAGCAAATTCGAGGATAAGCCTTTGTTTAGCTTTGGAGAGGGGACGCATGTTGGTGCCCAACCTGAAGGATGATCAAGCCTTTTATAATGGCCAGTGGAGCACATGACATCACCCAAGACATCATAGATGATGCTCCCAAAGTCTTGATGTCATACTAATGTCATATCTCACACTATGATGAAATTACTCCCAGACATCACTGATTTTGACCCCCTGGTCAAAAAACTGGCCAAATGCACATCTCACTTGTATGGATGATATCTCCACACTGTGGGCAGATACTGCCATGGGGCAAACTGCATCAGAAGGCTGTGCTTCCAAGCTCCATTTTATGTACCCAAAGCATTATGTAATCATGCTCCACTGTGGAGATACAGGCCAATCATTTAGGGAAACTCCAACATTTGGCCAGTTTTTTGGGCAACTGTACTGGCCCAAGAACCAGAATTCGGGGTTGCGATGCACGTTGTGGGAATATGGGTATGGTTACATGGTACAGTGGCGTTCTAGTCCAGCGGTAATCGGAATAAGCAGAGCTCAATGTCGATCTCCAGACCTCAAGACACCTGATCAACGAAACTACTCGGGAGTCTGCAGTCTATATACATTGACTATCCTTGCGTACTCGCTTCACCCCAAAGATCAACATAGTACTTGTTAATTGGTGATCATGAATCGCCACGATAAAATTCTCATGCCCTGATTACTTAGGTTCAATCCCGTGCGGTGGTCATAGGGGAGGACCTCACTTAGTAGGGCTTTTTCTTTCTGTCACGTTCCTTCGTTGTTGGGATAAAAATCGCCGGACAGATCTTGGTCCTCTGCTGCGCAACTCGCCGGAGTGTAGTCCGTTGTCTGTCAATCGACTGCAACGAGAGGGAATACGCAGTAAAATGGAAAACACTGATCAAGTAGAGGTAATTAGTGATTCCAATGGATCGTATGCCCGAGCCTGCAGCTAAGAAGCTAGACAATCGACAGCCACTGAATAGGTGGAGGAAGCAAACGAGTAGATTGCGTAAACTAGCCAAAAACATTCGTGGGACGGAGAAACGAAAGAAGAAAAATAATGAGGGTGTGGTTACCGGTATCGAGTTGAGGAGGCTCAAAGACAATAGAGCCTCGTAATCGTACCTTGGGATGATTCTTGAAGACCAACGATTCACTTGAACCAAGTTAATTTATTGCCTTGTCGCTGCGGAGTATACACATTCTCAAGGCTCATTCAAAGACTCCCATAAAGAAACCGAGACGAAATGCAAGCGCGCGTCCGTTCTTCCTCCCAACACTCAATCATACTACTTCCTACCGATTGCGTTGTCAATATCCTTCATACGTTGTTCAATTAACTTCTTGACCTGTATTCAAGTCAGCTCAGCCGCGCTCGAAACCTAGATGTAAAAAACTCGACGTACATCTTGGAACTCCGGGTCAGACTTTGCCTTGTCGAGAGAGGCCTTGGCCGCCTTGAGCCAATCAACGCTCATATTAGAAAGAGTAGCCTCCGGAAGATTCTCGTCTGCTTTGACTTTGACAACCCCGTCATTGACTGGTGCGGCGTTCGTTTGTTCAGTCTCAACACCGTCCTGCCCAACGAGATTGAGACGGTAGCCCCATAACAACGGTACAGGTCCTGAATTACGAATGAAGCGGTCAACAAGGCGCACAAACACGAGGAGATTGACTCACCACTAAACGTCCCATATCCTCCGTTGTAGTTGTAGTTGAATGGCCAGCCGTACAGCGCGAGACGGAAGGCCATACCATTCCGTACGACGATCCACATCCCTACCGATGCTAGGTTATGCACGAGCCGAACATCGTCGTGGGGAATGCGGTAATTTTGTCCACCGCCGAAGAGAGTGATAACGGTTCGGCTGGTGGGTGGTGGATTGAGACATCTGTTGTTCACATAAGTGTTGTTAAAGTTGCGGACGTTCATGATGATTTCGCTGGCTGAACTAGGTGGGTGGGTTTGTGAATTCAAGAACGAAAATGGCTTCGGTTTTATCCTCGAATTTGACGGTCTGACTGAGGAACGGTGCTAGTGCGTGACTTGAATGTTTTGAAGGGCGACTCGGAGAAATTACAGTTCCGTGACATCGTCCAGGGGAAAAACACAAAGAAAAATGCATGTACTTGTTGGCGTCCATCATCTAGCTGTCGCTAGCTCGTGCCAAGAATCGATCGGCAGAGTGTGCCATGGGCTCCGGAAGTCGGTGGGTTTTCACGGCCGCGACAGCTTGACACGTACCTTAAGTGTCGAGAAAAGGCAAAACCTAGAGCGTACCTATGGCCCTTTCAGAGAACTCATCGGTAGACGATTCGATGAATAGATGATATTTTGGATCTTCGGTTATATATCACCAATTCTTAGGTCAGGGTTCTGCTGCGAAAGATCCGGTCAACCCATGTATTATCAGGACTCGAGAGCTACGATAATCACGATACCGGATCCTGATAGCTGTTTACAGAAGAATGCGGAGAGGGGAATGTTTCCTTAGCCCTGACAGGACGACACACGGACCCGAGAGAAGTTAATTTAGCTGGATCATATGTAAATGCACGGGGTATTCAAGGATCAGGGAAATTGTCAGTGTTCACGTCAGAGTCTCGCTTAATATTCTACTCACCATACGGAGAACAAGGAACGTCGCGGCACTCACTCATATTCATTCGGCGCCCTAGACTACAACCCCACTTGACGTGCCGAGTTTCAAATTCAACGCTTTTAATCCGCTAGCTTCCTTAAGGACATCTGAGTGCGTGTCTGTATTGTGTACCGGTATTTCGAATGATTGATCATGATTCTCGTACCGGTAATCTCACAAGTATAGGGTTGAACTCAAACAACATCAAGTTTCCTGAGGAAACACCTTCACGCCACGTCGCAACCGTTGAATGAAAACCGATCAATCAAGGTGAGCCGGAGCGGAGAAGAGAGAGGCCACACGAAACGGTGAATGGGAGTACAAAACGTGTCTGCATGAATGGCAACAAGTTGACCTGGAACGAGTTCTGTTCAAAGGGCAGTTCCGAAGGAGTGTATGAACAGTTCATGTTCGTGGCTGGTCTACCATTGTTAAAAAACTTGTGTAAGATTGGCTAGTATGTACATGTAAGCATATACTGTAGCTTATAAAGATGGGACGGGTGCTTCTCGTGAAAATCAAGGTAGGAAGTTGTTGGAAAACTGAGAACTCCGAAGATCGTAATGACAAGCCTAGCGAGTCGTATTGAACCATTCAAGAGTGTTGAGATAATCAGAAGCATATTCCACGCCCCAAGAAGCTGGTGCTCGTGGCCCTTTGAAATGCCAGACCCTGCTTCCTCCATTACTCCCACGAGGTTGGATATGCTCTCTTCCGAGTCCTCCTGGGTATCTGAGTTCCCATGGGTATTGCTGAATGTTGCGATAACTCTTCGGGTGAAGACAGGGTCACGAGTAGGTGCGATCTCCTCCAGATACCCGAGGAGTCCGCCCAGAGCTGGATACCGACGTGATTTCACTCGCCCGTTTGATTCTAGATTGAGTACAACAACACCACTGAACCCGTTTTCAAAGACCTCTGGACCCACAAAGACTCAGAAGCGCCACCCTTTTCTCGTGGGCAGTCGCCAATCCTAGTCACTCTACGCTCATTCACCAATGGAGCTAGTGGTAGCTCCGGCGATAGATTGAACTGTAACAGCTAGGTGGGGATGACGGGATTTTCGGCAACATCTGAAAGCCATCTCCTCTCGGGTCCATACACAATAACTCGACCCAGGCGCGAGCTGGGGAGCTTCTGTGCTGATAACATCGAATATTCAACGAGCGCTTAGCACGGCTCGGCTACGTACGAGGAAAAGTAACAAGAATTCAACCTCTCGACCTGTGGGTGCGTCTCTTGAGACTTCGAACGTTCTACAGCTTTCCATTCCCCGAGCCTAGGTTCATGTTCAAGTCGCCTTGTCAATGGCTCGTCAGATAATCTTGGGTATCCCCCGTGCATACGGCCGCCTGGCGAAATGGCATCGCGTCTGTCTACGATCAACACAAAAAAACCTTCCAAGACGTATCAGGAGATTGCAGGTTCGCCCCCTGCGGTGGTCATTAACTCGAATGAAACAAGTATGTTTTTTTTACTGCTTCTTTTGCCAGGGGAGTGATTACTAAATATCCTAGGTCCCTCGGCTCCCCGGTTTGAAAGGTACGCCCACAAACAATCTGTAATACCTATCATATCCAACCCTTTCATAGAGTAGTTGTTTATCGCATCTGTCTTACATGAGGATTTTCAAGACCAGTCATGCACAGAAGATCCCCAGTTTGAGTCTGGGTCAAATCATCGCCGGGTTCGCTGTCATTTTTATACTTTCGAGTACTTATTCAATCATGATCGTGTCTCTCGCTTTGGAGGTACACCTATATCTGTAACACACAGTTAAGATAGGTACGATATCGTTATTGATGGGTACAAGTAATATGACACAACAAGATAGAGAAGGCGTAAAACAAATATGAGCACGGTTAGCAGAGGTCTAGGGGCTCGGATGGTGATTCGGATCTCAGAAAGCGAGTTGAGGCCAAACGAGAGTACAACACCTAAAACGTAAGCGGCAGATTGCCAACTCGAACGTTGAATCGCAAAGAGTCGATGCATACCACCGACGGGGAACGAGTATGAAACACTTGAAAGAAAAGGGAGGGAGTGATCTGCTCTCGTGAACCAGGGTATTAGTTATGAGCTCAAACTGAGTTAGACATTCAGTCGCCGCGGGAGAAGTAGGTCTAAACAGGTCATCCACAGCTCAATATAATGAATGGTGCCGCGGTAATGTGAGTTGGTAGCACGTTAAGAACGCTAAAAGGCAGTTCGGCCACTATTCCGGTGATCGGACATTAAACATCGAAGGTTGAGGAAGGGATAGACACCTCACACTGGGAGTAACACAAGAGATTTAGACGGAATGATAAGAGAAGTCGCGAGTTTAAGACATCCATCTCAACAGTAAGCGAGCCAACGCCAGGTATAAAAGAGCATTGTCAGTAGAAAAGTAATCGAGGAAGGTTCATGACTAGCCCCCGCCAAGACTTGTGTGCGGTTGCGCATCCTTAGATCAACGATCCTCAAGGTCGTGGGTTCGTGAGTTCGGGAAAAGAGGAATTTGGTTACGGATGAATTCGAAAAAAGGTTATGAACAAGAGGACACAGGTAAGCGAGCCGGCGTGGAATGGGGAAAAAATTCGCACAGAACGGCAGATCGAGGTATTCCGCGCGTAGCAGGAGATTATTCGGGCCGCCACCACCCGTTGGGTAGCATTTGCCACAGCCATCACGAGAAGCCCATAAAGATACGGCGAACTTGCAGGTCACGTCCGTCGAGGCAGGGGAGCAGATGGGTGTTCATATCCACAGTCCTGAACACATGAAGGAATTGAGGGTTTGGCAAAAGGTCAATTTGGAGAAAGTTCCGCAAAAATATTCAGAAGGTCAGGGCATGGAATGACGGCGAGTGGGCGCAGATTAGGGAGATATCTGCTGTCGAGACACACAGAACGGCACATATAGATAATAGGGTCATATAATGTCGAAAAGGGACAAATGAAACAAATGCGGCCTCACCATGGCCCCTGTATCATCTGAGCGCCGACGCGACCTCGCAAGGGTGGACATCCGAGATGACATGTGGATAGAGGAAGTGGGGAGATTTGTGGGCCGTAATACCGGGAAGACAGAGTAGGATCCTAAAGGGAACGAAACGTAGACGCAGAATCTCAAAGGAATCACCGTAGGAAACGCCAAAGGGACGGCAACAACCGCCAAGGAGTTTTCGATAGGAACAGGAAATGGTCGATTCAAGGCATCGAGAGTGTGCTCCTGTTTGAGGAGCTCGGATTCGTCTCTTCTTTGGCAAACAGCACATGCTTGGACAGCACACTGAAAAGAAAGACGTTTCGTCAGTATCCTCTAGGGATGGAATGTGACGCACCAAAATCCCAGCATTATCCAAATCATCGATATCGAGAAGTGTTCTTGCCGTCCACCTAATCACGTAGAGAACGAATCCCGGGAGCCCTCAAGGCCTCACAAGTAAGGTCAGTAGGTCGATTCAAACTGAGAGGATAATCTGCACCGATGAAACGAAAAGGAAGCAAGTGAGGATGCGAATCGCGATAGTGATATGGGGGAGAAAGACGTGGGTAAGAAAGAAAGAATCCCTCAGGAAGCGAACACCCTGGACGGAGATTACTCGGGCGAATGCACGGACCATCTTGAGGGGAGGTTAATCACCGGATTCAGAGCTGAGATGTCGTGGAGGGAATATATGTGCTCGCTTTACTTAGTTTAAAGTGCATGACTGAGAAAAAATGTCTCCGTGAGATTTGTGTATCATTCAACACAGGCTCGAACTAACCTTTTATTTCACGTTGGATTTCATAGCCGCATGTTGGACAGATGCGATAACCAACTACGTCATCGAACTATAGCAGGAGAAACCCAGAACCAGGACTATTGGCAAGCAACTTTGAGGTGCAAATAAGCCATCCAACGAAGTTCATGCGACGTTTTCTCATGACACTGGGAGATGATGGATATTTCAAGCTCCAGGCAACCTGCCCCTGCTTCACTTGAGGGAAAAAACCCAAAGCTATCTACGGTCTCAAGAATATCGGATGATTATTCCAGTCATTCGGAAATTGGAAGGTCTCCTGGGAATGTAGATGCTTCTGTTACTAACCCATTTTGAAGAGTCCATCTTCTCCACCATCCAGAAACTACGTGCGAAGGATAATAACGACACTGGATGCAAGATAGCATACTGGCAGCAAAAATATTTAAGAAATATGCAAGGATTATCTTTTGAGAACTTTAGAAAACTAAAAATATTTCTGCTAGAAAAATATGAAAGGAATATGTTTGACAACTTTTGAATGAAATAACCATGACATTAGGTTTCAGTTGCAAGATGTCAAACATAGTCTTTGCATATTTTCTGACAAAAATATTTTTGTTTCTCTAAAGTTCTCAAAAAGTAATCCTTGTATATTACTTAAATAATTCTGCTGCTAATATGCTATTGTGCATCCAGTGCGACGTCCTTAACTATACCTCAGACTTCCCCTCTCACACTTACAAGCCGTCGAAGCCATCCAAATTGACATGGTATTAAACGTGCAAGGGTGGTGTAAGGGGTTACTCACCGATACGCCTTACTCGCGCGGGCACTGTAAGCTTGACCAGGGTTTATTTAGACCACAGGTAGTTACAATACTCGGAGAGTAGATAGTGGGCGTAGTGAAAGTAAAAGATAAAGAAGTAATTAGCGTCCGCCACTCTTAAATATTAGTAACGTGGGAATATGTAAATATATAAATAATTTCCGTTACAGGTGGGCGGCGGCTCAAGACACTCATCGAGTTCAATTAAGATCGAGTTTGTGATACAATCTACGCCGCTCCTCCCAAGCATCCTTCAACATCCTCATTGTCCGAGTCATTGTGTCTCAAATTGATAACAACAGCTGTTCTCAATCACACCACCAATGCCTTCACTTTCATTAGTCTGAACTGAATTAATCGTCGCTTTTCACAATTACGAGTGCGGAATGGACGACTATCAATGTCGACGTCATTCCCTGTAGTACTGGTTTAATCTCGGAGGTATAAAGAGATACAATTTCTATTTAATCACGAGTCTGATTCACATCCACCACCGTGTTGAGACTGATTCCCTCAGAGGGTGCAGAACACTAAAAGGGAACAAAGACATGGATAAAATTGATAATTCAAAGAATAAATATAGATAATGGAAAGTGAACAAATCAGTGGCGATCGAGGGGAACTCGGTGGCTCGACTAGGTAGCTTGGTACTTGTACTTGGAGATATCAATGTAACGTACGACTTCTGGCAAGAATGCCGAGACATATAGGTTTCCCTCTCTAGAGTACTACACTTCAATCAAAGTCAGCTTGCCCTAATCTATCCTCAAAGTTGGCGTCCTTGATATATACATTGGCATCTCCAAAATCGGTGTCCGACAGGGCCTTTCGAGCAGCATCGGGCAAGCTATCCCAAGCAACAAGTGGCTGCTCACCACCCTTCACATCAGTGGTTCCTAGCTGGTGGGTTCCCGACATGAAATACCTGATCTTGGGACGACTACCCTCCAACTTGAAATTCTTGGTGACCTTGTCAAAATCTCCATGAGCCGAAGTAGCGACCCCGACAATCTTTTGGCTCTTAAGATTGTCAAGCCAAACCACGGCACTCTCCCAGTCGTGACGGTGTCCAATTCCAGGTGAGGGATTATCCTTGGGGAAGTACCAAGAATACATGATCGCGTATTTCTTGTTATGCTCCTTGGCACGAGCATAAACCTGCCCGGGGGATTTGCTACACTTCCCATTGTGGGATCCAGTTGGTTTGAGGCCACCACCGGTGTTTCCGTCCTTGTCAACGGCGGGGAAGGGCACGCAACCATGGTCGACCTAGTCAAATTTGGATGAGTCTCGCGGTGGGTGGAAAGAACCCGGCTGAAGTCATAAAGACCTACCTTCAAGAACGGCTGGAATTTAAGCATCGCTTTGCCCATTTCGTTATCGGGGACGGTCTCTTTGAAGCCCTTGACTTTGTCGTGACCAATGACATCTCGGGCCTCCAAAGTGGAAAAACCAGGGGCTGCGCTCGCAGTAAGTGCAGCGGCGAGGATGGTGAGGATGAGTTGGCTGGAGCGCATATTCGGTTGACTGTCGATAGAAAATCGAGTCGAGCGATAAGGATATTAGGGAACGTACGGACCTGTATTTATACCCGAAATCAACCGGCGCTTTTCATAGCTGTAGACAGCACCCACCATTGAACGATTGATATGCCAACTCGTCGGATCGCAAGGCTCCAACTCAACCACTGCTATCCCGAAACTTGTTCGCTTCAGGTGTCGAAGTCTCGGGAGGCTGTCGAAGAGACATTTAATTTATATTGCGGCTTCTCCACACACATAGAATGTGGCGAGCCCGATGGCGAACTGGGTTTGAAGTGCTTCGGCAACTTCCTAATCAACTTGCATTCCACCGTGTGGCAGTCCGTTTGATGAACGGAAGGCTTTCGC